CTCGTTCTTAAAGCGTGTGTGCGAGAGAAGATATATAAACATGAACTTATGTGCGTGAGAGAAGATATATAAACATGAACTTTACTCGTTCTTAAAGCGTGGTGCGCGAGAGAAGAGTGAGAGAAGATATATAAACAATAACCTGATGAACTTATGTGCGTGAGAGAAGATATATAAACATGAACTTTTACTCGTTCTTAAAGCGTGTGCGCGAGAGAAGAGTGAGAGAAGATATATAAACATGAACCTGATGAACTTATAGTGCGTGAGAGAAGATATATAAACATGAACTTTACTCGTTCTTAAAGGTACCAGAATCTCGTTTTGTGGGCATGGCTCCAATTCATTTTCACCCCTAAGAGGTACCAATTCTAAGACAAAACTAGTTGTTGTCATAATTTTTTCCTACGGAATAACTCTAACGGTAGTCATTTTAGATTTTAATACCCTAAGCGGTACCAAACCACAAATTTTAACCCCTAAAAGGTACGACGATCACCCCCGCCACTTTTATTATCGAAGTCCCACCCCCCCCCCCCCCCCCTCCCGGGATGGAAATACCTTTGAAATATCATATTTTAATAATTTGGGAAATTAGTGTCAATCAGTGATTATCAATAATAAAAAAATTATTGCAACAAGACACAATTAAATAATTAAACAAAATTAACCTATTTTTAATGCCACACTATCTTTACCTAATTTATTATCACCCTCAAGAGATAGCTGAACATAATTTAGTTCAGTGTAATATGTGACACCAAAACTTCAACATCCCCCCTCAGGTATAGCATGTACCATGCCTGGAAAGTAAAGAATTTGATGTGGTTCCTTCCCAAGGGGTGGGGAATTGTCTGTCAAATCTGACACTTGGGGGCAGTGCATTTGAATCGCTTTTTGGCCCACAAAGTTGAAATGCCCAGTGGTTCACCATAGAGGGGATGTTGAACTTTTGAATTGATCGGCACATATAGTAAACTGCAGCTCAACAGTCAGGGCTGTCATTAGTAGCCAGCAACCGGCTATTATGACCGGCAACAGTGAAGATGACCGGCTACTCAAAGTTGGAAAATGACTAATTAAAAAGACCACAGCTACGGCAGGCTATCTGGAGTATTTCACCAGCTACTTTCCTTGTGTAGCCGGCTGCTTCAAAGCTTAGTGACAGCCCTGACAGTATGACTGTGCTTTGTCAAACAACATCCTCATTGTGGTTATCTAATAGGTACAGCATTAGAAACATGAACCTCCAACGATTCATGTGTTTTTGTTATGTGACAAAATCTTGACAGCCAAGAAAATAACTGCTCGCAAACTTCAGTGTTGACATCCTGTTAAAAAAATCAGTAAAACAGTAATTAGAATAATATATTATGGTATTAAAACATAAAAAATATAAATTATTGATGCTGAAAATACATTTAAGCCGCATTGGTCTGGCCTGTGACCGCACATAGACTTCACATTCCTCAACATTCTACGTAGTAGTGGCTCGTGATATTTTTCGACAATTTTGAAATATTACTCGCGGTATTATTTCCAAATACTACTACATTGTACATGCTATTACCTATACAAATTGAGAGGTGCAAGTTTAAGATTTACTGTATTATACTTTTAAATATTTGATTTATAGATCCTATTAATAATTTATTTCCTCTTGAGAACTATTACCTTCAGATCAACACTTTTGTATGGGTTGCAGTTCTTTTTACACCAACCATCAGTATGATTTCCAAAGTGGAACTTGTCGCATACCATTTCCATTTGTTTCATTCTCTGTGATGTTTCTGTCTGGTTGCATCTGATTGAATTTTGGGTTAATTTTTCAAATGACATGCGTCATCGTAGCAAATAGTGTCTGTAAAAAAATCCCAGTGAAGAGTTGGTAAAGGGAATTTAATTTCCATCTTTAGAAAATCAATAACTTATTATAACATGCACTATCAACTGCAATAATTTTTATTAAAAGCCCATGAAACGTTTGTGAAACCCCCAGGGCCCTTAATCTGGAGATTTTCAGTTTCATGACCCATGAATTGTTTATGAAAAGTTTGTAATGTATTTCATGGGTCATTAAATTGCCATGAGACATATGGTACAGTTTCCAGCTTCCCAATAGAATATATTAAATGATGAACATGTATGTACTACCAACTGTCCTTCCCCATCCCACTGTTTTCCCACGGACATGCCCAGTCTTTTTCAGGATTATTATAAAACTTGGAAGAGGCAAATTGTGTTTGATAGTTTGCACGATCAACTTGCAACCGTTATATATACAAAAGTAGTTTTGTTCACAACACGTCATTTCAGACATATTTTTTTAATTCACTCTTACAGTTACTTACCAATATTGTTCATAAAAGTGTTTCTTAGTAAGCTGTGTAAATGGGCATACACTTGCGTTTTGCTCTCAGACCCAAACAATTCTCTTACATCAACAACAACAGAACATGGTTTGGCCATAACAAGAATTCCTGCAACATAATGATACATGTAAATTTAAAAAGCTGCAAAGTTATAGCACCATGATACAGTACCTATTGCATAATACCGGCCTGGCCAATCAATGAACATTGATTAACGGAAATCAAGAGATCAATCAATAATTCTTGTTAGTTAATTATTGATATTGTTTGGTATTGGCCAATCGATGACCAATCGATATACAGTAGTCACAAGTAAAATTTCGCTAATTACGTCGATCACAGTGTATATAGCTGGATATAGATTTATGAAAATAACGGCGGTATATAATTACCATCGACGAAAATCAATCGACCATTTTAAAAGTCGCAAAATCTTCTCTTATCGATTGTACATCGATTTCCAATATTGAAAATATAATGATAAGTGTGGAGAAGAGAACTCCGAAAAAAATTTCTGAGTGCCAGATGGGAATTGAACCCATGACCTTCCGTACTCTAGTCGGATGCTCTAACCACTGAGCTACTGGGAACTCTAATGGTGAGCAATGGTCGTTTATGGGCTATGTAACACAACGACTGCATCACGCAAGTCACATTATGTCACTGAACACACACAATTAACTGCATCACGCAGTCACGTAGAGTAACTCTAAGGAGTAAGTAATGGAAAAATAATGATAAATATAATATAATTAATCGATTAATTTATTGTTCTCGATTGATATTGAATTTCATTATTGATTTCATCGATTGGTCAGGCCGGGCATAATAGATGGGTATAAATCTGCAAAAACATTTCATTTTGACATACATGTAATATGCCGAAATCTTGACTTTATAATGCGTGAAAGTTATTAATAATATTGTTTCCACAATACTGAATCTGATATCATACCTGCAGTTCTGTGATTTTTACTTTTGTGTTTTCCTTTCCCTGTGCCACATTTAATTTTCCTTTGACCACCACCATCATCTTTCACAACATTATCTTCACTGCTTTCTACACCAAAACCAGAGCTAACAATTTGAATAAAAACATACATGTAGTCACATCAGTATAGTCAATTTAATACTGTATGTACTAAATACCAATAACCAGAAGTGGAAACAGTTATTAAATAGTTGACATTATAATAAAATGTTCCATTGGCATAATAATGTATTATTCTATTATTTTTCTTTCATTAATTAAAACATGTTTGAAGGAAAATGCATTCCTTTTTGGCACCTTTTAATAATATCAATTGCAGTGTTGTCATTAACGTGGCCCTCTCCATTCTCAGATGGCCCTCAGCTGACTTGGCAGTGCCTTGCCATAAATCTTCATCGCAAATCCTGGCTGCACCTTGCATTGACAGATGCCCATAATAAAGAAGGGCTCCCGTGATGTAATTTTTTATGCCAAAGGTGCAATTTTGACTAAAATGACTCCATATTAGCCAGCAACCATCACAGCAAGTAACAGCTTTGGACCAGCGTCCAATTTGATCTGGAGAGAGCTGTTGCATCTGATGCTTGGCGTCATCACAAGTCTCATCCAACATCTCTTTGATATGTGGAAGGGCAAGGTCAATCACCTCCAAAAGGGCTTTTCAGAGGTGATACCTAAGTCCAACCCCCTTCCCAATGTTTTTCTATAGCCTGCATGACCATTCCCATGACCATTCCCACTTAAAAAGCCAAGGAAAGGGCCAAGGATACTACATGCCTCCTTGAATCCTGGCCAGATGACTGCTTTTGTAGTCTATATTAGTTGTCCAGCAGCCATAGCACTTGAAGGAGAACATCATTGCCCCACCCAATCCTTTCTTCTCATAATTTGGCTGTCAACACAAGCTTTCCTGTAAAATTATAGATTTATATATTGTGAGAAGAATGAAGCCGAAAGTGGGAGAGGATGGAAACAATCAGCAGAAAAACGTGCATCCATATTTTCTCCAGTAAAATCAAAATAAAATCAAGCATTGGTTTGCTAGACAGGCTTTTATACAACAGGCCTAAAACTCAGATACTAAGTTTTCAATTTACTAAGTTTTCAATTTACTAGTCACTTGCTCACTGCTATCTACCTTAGTAAATAGTCAAAATCAAGGTATTTTTAGGTTACATATTTTCAGCCAGACATCCTAGAAAAGGCTTGCGACAGGACTGTCAAGAAACTACTATTACCAGTCTTTATATCATACATAAACTCAAATAAATATAAAACGTACATCTCCCCTCGTTCGATGGGCATTTGAAATAAATATTGAACTCCTCAACGAAGTTACAACACTTGATGTCGTGGCCACAAACAGTCCTTCTGCAACTTCGGTGCTAAAGAAACAACAACAAAATTTGTAAACTTGTATAAAAAGGATAGTCCATTTCAATATTCTGTTACATGGTCAACGGCCAATGCTTCATTATTAAAGTTTGCAAAAACAAAAGAATAAAATTCAGGAAAATAATGAATTTGATGTTCACAACAACGAGAAAATGGCATGGCTCTACAATACAAAATATAACACATCACCCGATTGCACCACCATATCTATGGCGCCATCAACATACCGTAATTCAGAAATTCAGACCGCTAAATTAATGTGGGCAATACTGTAGCTACTAATCAAAATAAGTTAAAACTCACCATTTGCCCTTGCTTTCCTTATGAATTTGTTTTTGTGGTGGCTCGTAGTCCGGGTCCTCCTCTGGTAGCGAAGCCTCTGTCTGCGGTTCGGGCTCATTGTTTCCCGATTGTTGTGTTGACACAAATCTCTCGTATATTCCTTCAGCTTTTAGCTGGCGCTCTACATTTTTACTGCTTTTCACAGCCTTTCCTGCTGGGTTTGTGTATCTAAAATACATCTTTAACTCCCGTTGAAGATGTTCTTTCCTCTTCGGTTATTGTCCATCCAGGTTGCCGCAACTTTTGAAAATCAGGGAAATTCTTGATTGTGAGCCAGAGCCACGAGCTTCAATACCGCTCATTGACTTTTCCTTTGTCGTGTTTGACTGCTTTTCGGAGGCATCTATCAATTTACTACGTTGTTTTTTTCCTTTTTGTACGCTTTACTTCGAGTTTTATCTTTAGCCGATCTCTCACTTGCGCTGTTTTGATCTGTTGATTCTCTGCTATCAACACTGACTGTTGACGGTGCCATTGCTTACAGAGGCGTTATTGTTTATAATCGCTTCTGATTGGTTTCGCGGGGAAAATAGCACACTGTAAAAGGAAAGAGGGGCCCATAATAGGGTCATTTTTAACGATTTACTGCTGAAAACTATTATTGTAGACCACAACAACAAGGCCGCCATTGAAAACAGTGCAGATGAGAGCTTTCTTGATGATTTTTTCAGTTTAAGCTCGATTTTGAGAAAGAAAATACTTGTTACTTCAAAGGTCTGGAGTTTGTTCAATTAAATTTCTTTTCGTAGGTTTTTCGGAAGGACGTGAAACTTGGCAGGCATAAACTACACACGTGAACAAACTTTTTTGTGGGCGTACGTCAAATGACTTCAAATATGAGACGTGTAGCATTACATTGTCTAATTACATTCTTGACATAATTTTTTGTTGTTTGGACTATTACATGACGTACTCCCACCACGATTTTAGGTTTCATCGTTTTATATTAATTGGCCACAGCTTTTCGAAGTGGAAGAAATTATCTTTGAGTTATAAAGAAAAAGTTGAAATGTGAAGGTTTCGACAACGCCTATTAAAGTATCAAATTACATTATTATTATTACAAAAATTATTTCAAATTAATATTCCACATATGTGAATTTGATCAAGTTTGAGCGATTATTTCAACAGATTTGATTCATGTAGATATTGCTACAAAAACGTGCAAATTAGCCTCCAGGACTACCTTAATAAAGACTGTTCGCTTAATTACAGATTTCAATCTATTTGCTGCAAAACCCATGCAGACAAGTGTAATGCTAGCATCACGAAAAAAAATAGAAATCGTACTTCTGCAAGAATGCAATTCGCAGCGGTTCAAATTCTCGGCCCGATCTGACCTATAGATACACTTTATTTATTTATTGATCTATACCTGTCCCCTTATTCTCGGAAATACACATTGCATATGAGTTTTAAATACGTTCGTTGCGATTGTTACATTTTTAGCTCAGCATCATGCTGACCCTTGTAGAATCAGACACTATTTATTTGCTATGTAAATGCTATGTTGAAAAGCTATTTAAATGATATTTAGGGCATATTTTATAACTATGTTAGACATCATACAAGCCATATATTTTAAGTGTATGTTATTGCTATGATTTTGCTATTTAATATGATATAAAATCCTATTTTTTACTATTCAAATGGAACCATTAAATAGTCTATTTAAAAACTATTTTATTAGCGTTTAAAATAATCAGGTAGTTTTTAAAAGCAAATAAATAGGCTTAAAATAGCATTATAATAGATTTTAAATAGCCAATTTGTTTTGGTTGATTGCCTAAAGAACTGATTGAAATAGAACTAAAATAGTAATTAAATAGCTTTAAAATAGATACAACATAGATTAAAAATAGGCTTTAAAACATGGCCATTAATGTAGTTTGAATAGATTTAAAATATAATGTACATAGCATTAAAATAGGGAGAGATATGAGACTTGCTACTGCCCAATAGAACTAAAATAGAACTAAAATAGGAATTAAATAGATTTAAAATAGATATAACATACATTATAAATAGGCTTTAAAATATGGACATCAATAGATTTAGATAGATTTAAAATATAATTTACATAGCATTGATATAGGGAGAGATATCTGAGGATTTCAGCCGAAAAAGCCCAGCTGAGTATAGAGCCACCCAAACATTCAATGAATTGCAAGCATTATTTTGCTAGTAAACAAAAGTACATCAAAAGCCATATAAATGAATTCAAAATATTTTAATTTGATCTCTGCCATAAAAAATATGTTACAACTCTTGTCCAAAGGATAAGTAAAAATATTTACAAAATAAATTACTGAATAACAATATATTATTTGAAAAACATGGTATAGAATAATTGGATTTATGCCACCAAAGGATAGTAAAAAACACTAACAAGATAAATTACAATTGATTTCAAAAATCTCAATAATTAAATTACAATCTGACAAAAACCTGGCCTGAATTTCAGTCGTCTCCTCTGTCTGTTACTCCCAAGAGAGATGTCTGAATCAACAGGCCGCTAATGCCATCCAGTGACGTCACTACCTGAAAGCGACAAAACGTCACCGGACAGCATTAGCGGCCAATTGATTCAGACATCTTTCTTGGGAGTAAGTGACAGAGGAGATGGCTGAAATTGAGGCTAACAAAAACCTTTTGATTCATGACAGAAATGTATGTATGTTTCAACTCTTGTCCAAAAGTTAGTAAAAAAGCACTACAAGATACATTATAATGTTAAAAACCTGTGTTGAAAAATAATATGGAAATTGAGGGCTCTACAGCTTATTTTCTTTTCCTGCAGCGCCTTTTGTTCCTTAAAAAATTCAGAGAATATTTGCTACAGTTAGAACCATATAAAATGATA